GGCCTTTAAGCAACTAAAATGTAAAAAAAGTATTTTACTTTCAGGTTGAGATAGCTCTAAAACAAGGGTATCAAACTCACTTAGAAATGGGGGCCAAAATTAAAACTTTTTTCAAATTAAGGGCCAGTTTCAGAATCTTTTCTTGGTTGCAGGATCCTCAACAAGAGTTTGGTTGGTCTCATTTGACGTTCTCTATTGCACTTTTGACATCATAATCAAAGATTAGTGAAAAAAATTAAAGTGATATAAGTATTTTATGTATAAAATACGATCTTGGGGGGCCAGATAAGATGTCAACAAGGGCCACATTTGGACCCCGGGCCATGAGTTTGACACATCTAAAAGATCTAATAGTTTATCGTGGACAAAAATATCTTTAAAAAAAAAAAAAAGGTATTTTAAAGTACTGGTAGTTAAGTAAAGTGGTAAATTATTTCCCTAAGAAACATTAATGTCTTCAAAGTTAAAAGACAATTTAAAGAGTGAACTAAAAACAGGCACATTTGTGTTTGCTGCTTCGTTAATGTTCCGGCTCCATCAGAAGTGGGATACTTGTTTAACAGCCTGATTCCATGTTAAAATAGTTGTTGGACTATTATCGAGTCGCTGAAGAATAAACGACTAATTCTGCCATAAATCTCCCCGTTGGCCCTGCTGCTGTTTCAGTTTCTGTCAGAGACTTGTCACGTCTGACAGGTCTGTGAACGCTGCGTGTCGTTCTCTTAAAGCAGTCTGCAGGTTTAGAAATGAAGGAAACAGATCTGAGAAACGGAGAACCCTGTCATTAGCGGCCGTTTATTCATGCATGGAAGATTATTCTAATTTTCTTTCAGGTTTGCGTGGGATTTTTATTTTTTATTTTTGTGCCAGCTGTGCGTCTTGTTGAGTCATAATGGGATTAAATGAGAGGTTATCTTGGTGCGTGGCTACGCTGAAAACACGTCTGAGCATCACTTCGGTTATTGGAAATTAACAAAAACAAATGAGGAATGTGAAATATAAAGACTGTCTTTTAGTTTTTTCACTTTTTGTGTGTTTTGACATGAATATTAGTCGATGCTGGATGTCACCCTGAGTCATTAATCGCATTAAAACGACAGCTGAATATGTCTGCACGGGTTTCAGCAGCAGGACCAACATAATTGGTTTCATCTCTGACAGACTCTTTTAAAGGCTGATTAATAAAATTAAATGTGCAAAATGTTTACAAATCAGATTTACGACGGAAGAAACAAAAGAAAACTGTGTCAGGTTGAAAACGGTTAATTAGTTGATTGCCCGCCTTTGTTGGTGAATGTTTCGTTTGTTAGCAAAATATCTCATGAACCACTGAATTTATTTTAATCAAACTTTCAGAACCTCATCACCAGATGTACTTGATCTTAACCAAAATGACTAATTTGGTTAATTTTAGATACTGAGCTAAAATTCATTGTGGTAGCAGCTGAGCCTCCTCTCCATCACATACTATAAGTGCTAACTGATGACAGAAGACATTTGTTTAGTTTTTGTCTTAAAGGTCTCATCTTCTACCGCTTAACCAAAGTTTGGCCACAGAGGAAACAGGTACAGGAGAAAACCCCCGACCTCCCTCTCCCCTCTCCTCCATGCAGCCACCCTACCAAGGAAGCTCATTTCATCCTCTTGTACCCAGGATCTGGTTCTTTTGGTCATGATCCAAACCTCATGGCAACAGGTGAGGGTTAAAACGTAGACGGACCTGTAAATCCAGAGCTTTGCCTTTCGACTCGACGCTTTCTTCACTACGAACAACCGAAGCAACACCCACATTACTGAGGACCCGATCTGTTGAGCCAACTCCTGCTCCATCCAACCATGACTCAGGAACAAGACGCCCAGATACTTGACGTCCTCCTTGCCAGGAGACAAACAAGCTGCTTCGATGGATGAAATTGTTCCCACAACTCATTAGAAGGTTTTTGGTCTTCTCAGAAATCACAGATCCGTTCTAAACATTACAATTCCATTTCAAACATCAAAACTGTTTACTTTTTGTCCTTCAGGTTTTAATGCTCAGCTCCCCCGTAGTTTTCATTACGACCACGGTCGTTTGAGTTCGGGAAAGAGGCGACGATCAACGGCTGGGTGAAGTCTTTGTAGAGACAGCAGTACCTTGACTTACCCAACTAACGAGTGTTTCGAGATACGAGCCGTTTCTTGGACAATTTTCTGAGTTAAGAGATCAAATCTGGATTATGATCCCGCTTCAGATGCCCCGCCGCTTGTTGGTGCAGAGAACACCTCAACATCCGCCCAGCATCTCGTGCCTCACATGTTCACATCAGTGTTGCCCCGACCATTATCCAAGGAGGGCGCCCCTCCCTGTCAACAGAACTGAGCGCCCCACCCACCAGATCTCACCCCCCCACAGCAGACAGCTCTGCTATTGTACTGTAACACTTTACTACAACGGCTGACCCCCCCACCCCCCATTGACAAAAGCCGGCAATGCAAACGTAGCGCTCGGCTAACATTAACGCTAACCCTCCAGAACGGATTAATGACATTTTAATTGATTTCAATGAAGAAAACTGATTTGACATACGAGTAGTTTGAGTTTAAATTTTTGTCACAGACCAAATTAAACTCTTAAGTCTTAAAGAGTTTATTTTCAGGTCCAGCTTTGTTTTTTTTATGGATTATTTTAAAGAACAAACATTAAAAATATTCACATGTATTTAAAAATGCATCACAATAACGACACTTGGCAAAAAAAAAAAAAAAAGTGTAGAGCTCATCAGGTGTTTTATTAGTTA